TAAAATAAATCCAAACTAATTCCAAAAAATTTCCTTTTTTTTTTTTTTTTTTTTTTTTTTGCAATCCAAACAAATTATATCCCCAAGTGTAAGAAATTATATCCCTTTAATTGACAATTTTCATAAAAAATAAATCCAAACGAACACCAAAAGATAGAAAATTTCAACATTTTTTAGGTGAAAAATTATTTCAATCAAACAAAATTAATTGACAATTTTCAGTAAAACAAATTCTAGGTAATTCAATTCCCTGCCATTCATTTTCTTTCCACACAAATTCCATGTTTGAATCAAACGAACCTTAAGTTCTTTTTCTTCAACTTCTTCTTCATCATCATCATCTTTGGTTTATGGCTAAGCAATTCGAAATCCAAAGCACATTTCAGGCGTAGTTCAAAGTCGCGCTCTATGCAATAGTACGAACGGTCTTTTCCCGATTCATAGCAACCATCACAATGGTAAAGTCGACACTTGGAGAGAACAAGCTCATGCTCCTTATGAAGTGCATGCTTCACCTTATCCGGCCAACCCTTTCCCACCTTATCTTATCGTGTTTCAATCATTTCAAGGTGAAGCATCTGCGCTGTGTGTAGTGATGAGGTCTAGGGCTCCAGTTGTGATTGTCTTGGTATTTGGCCCGATTGCCAGGGCCGGCCCTGGCCCAAGGCCACTAAGGCAGTAGCCTTGGGCCACAAATTTTTAGGGACCTCACAAAAAAAAAAAAACCCAATACACTCCATTGGGCCGAAAATATTAAGTGACCCTAACAAAAAAGCCCCAACTCAAAAAGCCCAATACAAACCCTCAAATATCCTTTCATCTTCATTTTTCAAGACTTCAACTCTTACCTCTCGGTCTCTTGTGTCTCTTCAGTTCCCGTTCATTCATTATCTCTTCCGTTTCCTCTTCACTCTCTAAGAGAGTCTCTCTTCAGTCTCCACCATTTGTCTACTCTCCGCCGCTACATCAACCGGCACCGCTACATCCGTCTCTCTACTCTCAAACCTCTGTCGCCAGGCTCGCCACCATCCGTCAGTTATCGGCTAACTGGAATTTCAGAATTTGGTAAATGGTGAGTATTGACATTGCAGAATGCAGAATAAGCAAAATAAGCTCCATATTCAAAAATTGTATAGAGGAAGCTAGAATGTCAGATTTCCATTTAGTAAAATTCAGCTTTAATTTTTTATTTTTGTGGGATTTGAGTAACTGAGTTTATTTGATACTATGTTGAAGTGATTGTGGGATTTTTTTTGTGGGATTTGAGTTTAATTGGATGGAATTATGGAATTGGATTTTGCATG